TCTGCAATTCTGGTAAAGATAAGTCACGTAGCAACTTTTGCCGCGCGCTTACATCGCCGCCGTCTTCTTGAGCAGTGAGCTCGCGTCTCAAGAACGGCAAGAACGCCTGCTCAGAGGGTGGCTCGCCATCGATTGCCCATGTTGGGCCGCTTTGGCCTCGACGCTTAGTCGGGAACGCCAAGAAGATTTCATAGATGAACGGCAAGAAGATTTCAGCGAGCAGATTTTAGGGACCTGTACGAGGGTTTGACAAGCAGCATCATGTGATTTCCACTATTAGACGGAGCCTCCGTCCGCTTCCAACGGCAGCTGTGGAGCGCTCGCGCTCGTGGCGATAGACAATATACTACGTAGTACATGAAGTGGTCTTATTAAAGTTTAAGGCGTGTCCTTCCGACCGAACACAACTGCCGTATCCATCCACACACATTGTTTGCTTTACACTAAATCTACATTGGTCTGGATTGTTTTTTGGTATTTCTATTTCTTAAAAAGCTTAAATCGGTAATGACGGGACAATCCCCTTTGCTTTAGAGCGTCTTCACTACGATATTAGAGATAGAGATGGAGGCAGCAGATCAATCTCCATCTCTGGTTTGCCCGCCACAGAAAATTCTCTAGCTAAATTTCAACCAATCGAATAGGTGCAACACCAGTCGGAAATTGCCAGTCATGCCAACGTATCCAAAGAGGGCTGCTCCGCGCGCTGAAGCAGGTCCCCACGGCGGTGAAGCGTTGTCGCCATTGGTATGTACGTTTGAAGCAGCTCTGGAAGAAATATCGGTGATGTCAAGCCTCGAGAGTCAGCTCTAGGGTGTTGATAGTGCCGGCGACGCGCATGCCACTTTTGTGTCTCTCGCCCAGACTTCGACGGCGCGCCACCGGCAACGCCAATACCCCCTTCGGCATTTAGCACCTCAATGGACGACGCAGCCCTTGTACCTGCCTCCCTGCAGTCGAAGAGATGCAAGAAGCGAGCGAAGAAGGCTGCTTCCGACGCACCACCACAGCCAGTATTCGCATGGACGTCGAAGGTAGCGGAAACCTTATTACTTGTGCGTTTTGTGACGATGAAACATCGTTTTCAGGGCACTAGGAGCTCGAAACAGCTCGCTGCTGTGTGGAGCACGATATCCTCCAGTCGACCCTAAAACGTAGAGCGCTGCAGCCACTTTCTTGTTGTAGAAGAATCGCTTGGAATTGACTGCAGTGCCAAAAATATTCTGCCGGTGAAGCAAACTAGTGATACGCATTTTTTTTTGGTGCATCGAGGGTTGGCTTTAAACGAACTCTCACAACTGGCGGACGGAATCATGGGCTCGAAGTCCAGGACTGTCACGGTGCGTATCTGCTTTTTGGGTCTTGGTGGTGCGGGATCACAAGTTGCAGAAAGCAAGACAGCCGTCTGAGAATGTGAAACCTATCTCTATCCGTCTCTAACCCTCTCTACCTCATGTAACTAGAAAGGAGACGAGGTAAGCTCTCCAGTTGTGTTGTTGTTACTGCTACAGTTTTGACCAATCATCTATTAGGAAAAGTTTACTCGTTGATTGATCTCCAGTATCGTAGTGAACACGCTCTTACACTGCTGCCAACTTGGATTGGCAAAGGTGTAGTACTTTCACTGGAAAAATCATCAATAAACACTGTACTGTATTGGCTGCACTACATGTACACCGTTTACCCTACTTAGCCACGACTATTTACCGTATACAATACGGCTTTTTCTCTGATCTCACGCTATTTGGATTGTAGTTTCTGAAAACGTCACAACAGTATAATAGTCTCTATTTTAAAGCGAATGGCTCGCCTGTCGTTTCGCAATTCAAGTTTTTACATGCTAATAGAACCAGTGGGATTTTTACTTACGGTGCACGATAATTTGGTCGTACAGCTCTGTAGCAGCACTGTACTTCAAGCTCTGCCCAAAAATTGAAATCCTATACCCTCGCAAATGCGGTCATACTACCTTCATCCTTTTTCAGCCAGAAAAGATGTGGTACTTTTGATTTGCAAGAATTTATAGCCTATGCTTACTTGATACTGTACATGTATCGTTTGGAGCTTAGAAGTTCCACCTTTTTCAGTTTCTGGGCGGAGTCTGTACTACCGGTACTGTATTGTGGTCCTAGTGCAGCAGGATACTTTGCGGAGCGGTATTCGACGACAACGCGACTTTTGCCTCACTGTATCCATACAAGATGCTCGTGCATACTGTGCTGAAGTGCAGTGTATTAAAAGAGTGTTCACGGGACGCGACAGGTAATCATCAAGAGTGAACTTCGCACCCGTCACCTCGCGACGAAGATGCATTCTAAAGCGAAGCGCTTGGAAAACAATACGAAGTCTTATATGCACATGTACCGATGTCGTTAAGGGCAAGGCATCGTTTGGCACATCTTGCAAATGCACTTTGGAAGGTACCTAGTTCTCATAACTCTTGTAGCGACTCCTTACTACTGTAGAGTTACCACCACGGTACTAGAAGTATACTTTTTCAAATAAAACATGCATTATACATGTATTTCACATGTACTGTGAAGTACATACAGTACATCATGTGTAGGCCGCAAGTCTGGTTGTTGCTGTGCACGATGAAGCTGGTGCCACACAGTGAGAAAAATTGACGGAAAAGCAGAAGACGGACCAAGAGGTTAGTAAGATGCTGCTTCCACAATAATCTTGTAGCCATTCGTGGTTTTGTTAAACAATAAATATATATATATCGCTTTCCCTTTACTACTTGTGCTTTTCGTCTTCTTCTTCTTATGTGTTAATGCGTTTCTTCATCTCCGACAAGATTGACAATAACGCTTATGGTGATACTTCGCATCATTTTTTTAAAATACGGCTATTTATTCTTAGCGATAAGGGCGCCCAAGGCTTTAGGGCGCCCTAACGCTTGCAGTTAAGGGCGCCCAAGTGGCTTATTAAAATAAAGGTGCTCCAAGCCTGTCGTGTTGTTGTAGCTAAGGGTGCACTAACGCCATTCAAATCTCTGCCAGAGAGTTCGAGTAACCTTCGTAGAGCCTTTACATGCAATTGTGGTGCAATGCGGCCATCCAATTCAGATTAGCTCGCGTGAACTGTTCACACGAACACTCTACAGTACGGAGCGTGTGTCATTGCAATAAATCTATTAGATGGCGAGGACAGCGCGTTTTTTCGATGGCAATAGTTTAAAACGCAGCGTGTCCTCGTGTCTGCACCTCTGTGGTATTAATACCTTTCAATGGAGGCTCGTATTTTATCTCAAATACAAAGCATGCAGCATTCAACTCAATCTTGGACTCTTTAATGATGCTGCACAATGCAACGATACACAGACAGAAAAGACGACCTCATCTCCTGATTCACTGAGGAGTCCTGATTCAGGACTTCTGAATACGAAGTACCGGTATTTGTACTAACGGTATCTCCGAGGATGTCATGTAGTTCAGCTACAGAATCGCCTGTGGAGGTCCACTAAAGTCTCTCAAAAAACAAAAAGCCTTCGTGTAAATTAACTATTAAACTGCCGATATCAGGAATTACTTCATTATTTAGTGAGCATCGTCTAAATTAATCCTTTCAGCCCTTAAAACGTCACGTTTTTACCTCAGATCTTTGTGTGTACCGAGTAACCTTAGTTATGAATTACTCTTTGTTATCAATTACACTTCAATGTGGCCAATCAGAAGCCGCCAAACGCTGAGTGGGAAAAGAAAGCCGTGCATCCTTAGTTATCAATTACACGGCTTGACAACCAGTAATTTGCGTACATTATCTAGTACTGGTCTCACTTCTCAAAGCCGCAGATGAGCCCAACGCAACGAAAACGCCCAAAGGGGAGGCCTCGCCTACCTGGTGGCAAGGGCCGCCAAGTACCAACGAACACCATTACGGCGTACACTGCTTCTCACAAGCTGAGGGTACTAGAGTATCTAGACAAGAACGGTAGTATTGCGTCCGCAATTCACACGTTCTACCCTGTGAACACAAACACAAACAATGTAAAAAATACCTGTTTTCTCTGCGATTTGTTGTTTGGTGTCATCCACAATGTATTGACGGAATTACGAATGTGTTTAAACGACGTTTATCCCTCTCTGATCTAAGTAAGGTTCTCTTCCTGCATACCCCCACGGCCTCGCTGTAATGGGAACACGATTTGTAACGGGAACGCGATTTGTAACGGGAACACGATTTGTAACGGGAACGCAATTTGTAACGGGAGCGGTTTTTAAAACGGGAACGGTTTTTATAACCGGTACTATACTGGTACTTACTGACTATCTCCTCTGCCTATCCCAATCGTGTACCTTTTGTGCGAGGGCCCTCGTTAGTTTCTCCCTTTCTCCCCCTCCCCATCAAAATCCGTGCAAGATTAGCACGCAACCTCAACGAAATCTACAGGTTTTGTACAATGTACAGTATGTCAAATTCAACATCCGCCCAGCTCACTAAGAAGAACAGGCCCCCCACCGAAATCACAGCTAAATATGAAAACTTCCTACCTATTATAGTGAGCTGCGTTTTAAAATTAGCTGGAGTTACCCTACGATAGGTATCGCAGTGGCCTGCGGTAGTTGCACACGACGGCTTGTACGAAGAGACTTGTCACGCACGAGGGAGCTGAGGTAGAGGGAGCCAATGTAAAGGTTGCGCCTGACTTCGGACACGCTCCAGGAAGAAAAATTCCTGCGCAACATTCACATCAACGCGACGAGCTCCTCTACCCCCTTTCTGAACAAAGCCGGTGTGCTGTTCGTAAAGGATATGGTTGACAGAGGAAGCAGGTGTCCCACAGGTACACGCGCTTCGGACAAGGAGGTTTCAAGGTCATTCAGCAATTTGCCGAGCCAAGCAAACGACATTTGCTAATTGGGAGCCTACTTCCAATACTATCCGACACCTTTCAAGCTTCAAGCAAGTATGCAGATCTCCCGCATCATTGCGCACATTGCGCTAGCTGCGGCGATTGTCGCCTCGACGACGTCGCCTACTGACGCCGCCTGGGGATGGATGACCGACAGCACCAACGATGTGAAGACCGACAACACGTAGAGAGTCTGCACCTCGAACGTAACCTGGGTGCTGGTGGCGGCTTCGGTGATTCGCAGGGCGGAGAAAACACGCGCGAGCCCAGGGCCAACCAGGACGTATATCTACAGTGTTTCAGAAACACCCCCAGGCCAGGGCGAGAAAAAACCAGGGCGAAGAGGGCCAGACACGAGACCGAGAAGGAGGAGGGAGACCACGAGCAGAAGGAGAAGAAGGACGAGAAGGATGATAAGGAGAAGAAGGAGAAGAAGGACGAGAAGGATGAAAAGGACAAGAAGGAGGACGACGACCACAAGCAAAAGGAGGACGACGACCACAAGCAAAATGAGGACGACGATCACAAGCAAAAGGAGGACGACGATCACAAGCAAAAGGAGGACGACGACCACAAGCAAAAGGAGGACGACGACCACAAGCAAAAGGAGGACGACGACGACAAGCAGAAGGAGGACGACGACCACAAGCAAAATGAGGACGACGACCACAAGCAAAAGGAGGACGACGACCACAAGCAAAATGAGGACGACGATCACAAGCAAAAGGAGGACGACGACCACAAGCAAAAGGAGGACGACGACCACAAGCAGAAGGAGGACGACGACGACAAGCAAAAGGAGGACGACGACCACAAGCAAAATGAGGACGACGATCACAAGCAAAAGGAGGACGACGACCACAAGCAAAATGAGGACGACGATCACAAGCCAAAGGAGGACGACGACCACAAGCAAAAGGAGGACGACGACCACAAGCAGAAGGAGGACGACGATCACAAGCAAAATGAGGATGGTAACCATGAGCAAAACGAGGATGGTAACCATCAACAAAATGAGGATGGTAACCACGAGCAGAACGACGGCTCCAATAACACCCCCTACCCAGGATACCCCCAGCCAGGATACTCCCAACCAGGATACCCCGGAAGTCCCGACGCAGAACGAGCCAACTCCGACCCCCGAGACTCCAGTACAGGAGGTCCCCCCTTCGCCCGAGGTTCCTACGCAGGAGCAGCCGACGCCGACACCGACCACTCCGGAGATCCCGACGCAGGAGGTCCCCCCTTCGCCTGAGGTTCCTACGCAGGAGCAGCCGACGCCGACGCCGACCACTCCGGAGATCCCGACGCAGGAGGTCCCCCCTTCGCCTGAGGTTCCTACGCAGGAGCAGCCGACGCCGACACCGACCACTCCGGAGATCCCGACGCAGGAGGTCCCCCCTTCGCCTGAGGTTCCTACGCAGGAGCAGCCGACGCCGACACCGACCACTCCGGAGATCCCGACGCAGGAGGTCCCCCCTTCGCCTGAGGTTCCTACGCAGGAGCAGCCGACGCCGACGCCGATCACTCCGAAGATCCCGACGCAGGAGGTCCCCCCTTCGCCTGAGGTACCTACGCAGGAGCAGCCGACGCCGACACCGACCACTCTCGGAGATATCGAAACACGAGAGCCCCCCTTCTCGCTGAGATTTTCTATACAGGAGCAAGCGACACCGACACCTCACCACTCTCCTAGATATCGATGCATGAGAGGCCCCCCCCTCGCCTGTGGAGTTCCTACCCCAGGAACCAGGCCCACGCCGAAACCCCAACCCCTCCCCGAGAAACCC